TCCAGAAAAATACTTTTGATGCATATTAGACAGCAAGACAAGGTCTTCGAGATGTCCTCCCGATGTAAAAGGCACTATCTAAATCTGTCTCCACCTTCTGGAACTCCATCCCACATTCCCTTCACCTCGCTCCCTCCCTTGTCTCCTTCAAGATACACCTTAAAACCCTCCTCTTCCATCGTGCTTTTGGCCACCCTCCTCCCCTCTCTGCCCTCCACACTCCCTGATCCCAACCCCCACTCCCCCCATGTAGGGTAACATTTTAAATTCAATTTTAGATTTACGAGTGTACATTTTCAGTCATTTGAGGATGGAAGGTTTTCCAAACCAGTCTGGTTTGGATACTCTGAGGAAAGTGATGGGTTTCTGCATGTGGCAAGTACCTGATTGACCAAAATAAATATTTCACTATGTGTAAGAAGCTATTCTCCAATGAAAACATAAACCAGGCTGACATCAATAATTTTAACAATAATAATCCTTGCATTTGATGTAGCACCTCATCACAGTGTTGAGATGTCTCAAAGTACTACACAGAATATACTGTAAAGCAGACTGACTGTGTATTTTGTGGGCAAAACTTGGCAGCCAATTGGCAGCCAATCCACAAACAGTCATGGATTGAGTATCAATATTATTATTATTATTTTCAAGGGATTATTACCCCCGGAAAGTGATCCGCCAATTGACTAACTATGGGGTTTGACTAACGATTTGATAATCAACAAAGCATTTCAGTGTGCACCGAACTTGTAAAATTGTTGCACTGAGTTCGGTATTAATTTGTAGCCAGTTTTCTTTAGTTTTTCAAAGACATTTATGAAAATCCATCACCATGGAATAACATAACATCAAGCCCTCATGACTTTCTTTCCCCCAAGATAATATCTTTTTTAAAGCGAGACTAATTATTCTTGTAGCGAAATGTATACTAGAAATGAGAATAAATAAGACATTTGACATCACTCTGATGTTGCTGATGTTCAAAATGATACTTGTTCTTCACAGGTAATGTCTGGAGCTGGGGCAGTGGACACCAGTGAGTGTTTGATAATGAAGAATTAGAGTTAGCCTGGCTCAGTTAGCAGTCAGAAGACTGTGGCTTCAAACCTCTCACTGGGAGTTTGAGCTCATAGTCCAGGCTGGCTCTGTTAATGCAGTGCTGTGGGCATGCTGCATTGTTGGGGATGAGATATTAAACTGAGATCACATCTGTCTGGTCACGTGGGTGTACGTTAAAAAGTATGTTTGAAAAAGAAATGGAATTTCTCCCAGTATGCCAGCCAACAATCCCTCAGATTAAATTGGTTACTCACTTCCATGCCTGTTTGTGGGATATTGCTAAGCGCAAAATTGACTGTTAAGTTTGCCTACGAAATACCCAGACACTGCACTTCATATTAAAATCCTGTGAAGCATTTTGAGACAAATTAATGGTGGGATAAGGCACTATATTAAATCCAAGTTTTATTATTTATATGGATTTACTTAAAAGATATTGATTGATCAGACAAGCCTGCCTTCTAAAGACCTATGGTATATCAGGTAAATATATATTTTTTAAAAACCTTATTAACTTATAATAATAATAATCCTTGCATTTGATATAGTGCTTTTCACGTCTCCTCGACATCTCAAAGCACTTCACAGAATATGTTGTAAAGTGAATTGACTGTATATTTGTGGGCGAACGCGGCAGCCAATTGTGCACAGCAGTGTCCCACAAATAGACGTTTTTGAAAATGACCAATTTATTATTGCTTTGTTTTGGAGGGATTATTATTAGGCTCTGTGTGGAGTAAGGAAACTTGCCCAAGGATTCGCCCTCTGCCTGGAATTGAACCCAGGTGTCTCGCTTGCAAAGTGAGTGCTCTAACCACTGAGCTACAGGACTCCACAAAACAAAGACAAAACTCGCCTTTGTTTGTAATGATTTCACCCTACCAGCTTCTCTGATGGTTGGATAAGCAAGGAAACTTCTTGAGGCCCAACTCTTACTCAGACAAAATATTTTTCTATAGTAACGAGCACACTCGAGATAGGCCACAGAATGACCACAAAACCCCACACATTCTGAGACCAGGTACCTCCAACAGTTATCAATCACAGGAAGGAAATGAACATATGCAATGGTGAATTCCTTGCCTTAACATATCCTCTCCCAACACACCCACACACACAACACTCACACACGCTCACTATCTTGAGAATGCTCTATGACAGGCCAGTGTTCCAGTTATTCTCTCACTACTAAATGGTCCTTTTTATTCCTGTCTGTGGGCAGGTTTACAGCTGAGGGCAAATGTACCGGACAAGCTAAGGCAGTTTAACACTGCTATGTTTTTTACGTTTAACACTGCTCTACGACCCATGCCGCCAGGTGCAGTGCATTTGTTGATGGAGGAGCTGCAGAAAGAACCCCCAAAGAAATAGTGCCAGGTCCTCACTGAGCTTTTTTGTTGATATAGAGACCGGTTTTGTTAAGATGGGCTCCCTCCAAGCTTTAGCTGGTAAAGGCACTGAGCCAGCCACGCGGGCCTGCTTTCTCCTAACATTGGCAAGCTAGTTTTAATTGCGTCTAAACCTCCCCACGTCCAGCGAAGTCTACACCCAAAAGGAAACCTTTCAGGCCATGCCAAAAGTCAGTGGCTAACACAGGCACACTGCCGGTACTGGCCTACAGCCCTGCACACTGAGAGTCATGAGATTGTGACATGAACTGGGCCCCGAAAGCCACACGAGCAAAACCAAACAAAATACTTAAATAGGTGTTAGATAGGTGTTTGGAAAATAATATTGAGGGTTATGGAGAAATAGCAGGGAAATAGGATTAAAATGTAGCCTACAGTCTAATAAAAGTGACAGGACTGGGTTAATGGTTTGAATGGGTTATCCACAGACTTATGCAGCTGCAATATTATTGTGTTCTTTTTCTGCTGGGCCCAACCCCGAGACACGCTGCCTCTGCAAAGCTCTTTGAGACATTGTCCAATGTGAAACACCATTCTTGTTGCAATGAGAAATGGAGTGGAGTCCTGTAGCTCAGTGGTTAGAGCACTCGCTTTGCAAGCGAGAGACCTGGGTTCAATTCCAGGCAGAGGGCGAAACCTTGGGCAAGTTTCCTTACTCCACACAGAGCCTAATAATAATCCCTCCAAAACAAAACAATAATAAATTGGTCATTTTCAATCTACGACTGTTTGTGGGACATTGCTGTGCGCAATTGGCTGCCGCGTTCGCCCACAAATATACAGTCAATTCACTTTACAGTGTGTTCTGTGAAGCGCTTTGAGACATCGAGAAGACGTGACCAGCGTTATATCAAATGCAAGGATTATTATTATTATTATAACTTGTGTGGTTGGAATTTTTACCGAACTTCATAATCTTAGGGTAAATAACATTCCATCATATTATTTCAATCCACAATAGCACTGCTAAACTGGGGAATGTTCTGACCCTGCTGGGCCCAGAATTCCACCTAGTCTTAGTCTGTAAACCATTGTATTGTAACATTTTAGAAATTGTGGAAACTTCTTCAATTCACTCTTAATTTTGTAAGTCGGTTTCTTTTTGTAGATTTATGCAGATAAATAGCTTCCAAACTAAGAGGGGATTGAGGACTTTTCCTTGAAATTTTAAATTTGAATATTTTAAATTCTAAATTTTTAAACTTTAAATTTGAAGTCAAAATTTGCAGGCGAAAGCGAGGTGAAATTTGTGACATGCACTGCTATTTAGGAATCCATGGAAACACTTAATCACACTGAATTATAGTCATTTTAGCATAATATGCATGTTTTCATATTGGATTAGAAAATGTATTTTTTACCGCAGTGAAAATACCAGAATGGATGCAGACGACACTTCACTGCTTGCCTCTGTGGAAAGAATATGATTAATAGGAATTTACAAACACTTATTTCTCTTCACAAGAATAAATACCCCAGTTACAGAAGAAGATGTCAGTGATTGTAGCAGTTATCGCCCTTAGCAGTAAGACACTCCAGTAAGCAAGGCACTTAGCCCTGTGGTGGAGCATGTACTTTTTAAGTATTTAGCATAAACTCAATGTTTAAACCTACATGTGCAATACCAGCAAGAGCTTTGTTTCTTTGAAGTGGTAGATGGTTCCTTTGCATTCATTGAGCTCTTGTAACATACTTAAGTTTAAGTTGTTACCAAATGCCATCAAGTCGCATGTAACCGAGAGAGGAACAGACCTCCACCATCGGCGGCCATGCTTTTAGCCAAGTATGCTCCAAAACTTTGGAACTATCTCCTTCAATCTCTCTGCCTTGGCCCCTCCTTCCCTATTTCCAGGTCATGCCTGAAGATCTTCCTCTTCGACCGTGCTTATAGTCACTTCTTCCCTCCCCCTGGCTCGGCATCAGGCTCTGCCACTGTTAAGCGCTCCGAGATGCTACGCCACATGAAGGGCGCTATATAAATGCAAATTGTTGTTGTTGTTGTTGGAGAATCTCATGAGTGGTCCAGATTAAGACCTAATTTTTTTCCCACAATCCTGCATGATTTTTATAATAATATAAATAATCCTTAATTTGGTAAAGTGCATTACCATACGGTTGAAATGTCTCAAAGAGCTTCACAGAATATACCATAAAGTGAATTGTCTGGTCTTGCATATAAAGACAAAATGGCACTTACAGGCTGAGACTAGGCGGAATTTCAAGTCACAAGTCTGGGTGAAATCTCTTCCACCTCTTTACCCTCCCCCTCCTGCCCCCATTGGGACTGCTGTGGTTTCTCTATTCCTTGTAGATGTGATTTCTGAACCCTTACATCTTGCAGGGCGTATAACACAGCAGTCCTGCTCTGACCACATCCTGACCTTACGAGAGAGAGATCGAAGCCCATGTTGTTTTGCAGGCTTCACCTCCTCTGCAGATGATCTCTTTCAGACGTGAGAATATACAGCGCTGGGTACATGATAACCACAGCCACGAGCACACAGGAAGCATCACCATGGTAACTGCCCCGTTATTGCCAGGGGAAAGCTCCCACTGTGTCACCTGAGGAGCCTCCTGGCTGCACTAATGGAGGTCAGGGCTACAGGTTTGCTTTTGATTTTCACTTCTTCGCCCATTTTATGATTACAGCATCTTTCCATTAGCTCAGGTCTGGGTAAGCCCTGTTCGCAGAGGGACTTTTCAACCTCAGCACTGTCTGAGTTGCGCACAAACTTAACCCTTTTCTTTGGTTAGCCGGGTGTCTGGCACATGTTGAAACCCATCACCGTGCCTAAGAGTATCCAAACCAAACTGAGAATTCTATACAGAGATAGATTGTTGGAAATGGAATGCACAGTCCCTCATGGGGAGTTGCTTACCTAATTCCAGAAATTATTAGGTGCAGTTTGGCAAGAGCCAAGTCTTGGGGACCCCAGAGTGTACTTTGGGGTAACTGCTGGAGTCTAACCAGCTAAAACTGCATAGCTTGCCATTGACTGGCAGGCTTTCACGCTGCTTATCCAGCTGGGACACCCATCTCATTAGGGCACTGGCTTGCAGGGTTAATGGGAGCTGAGTAGGAGGATTCCCTGCCCCAATGAATATAACTTCTTGATAAATTCTGCAAAACTTCCACGTAAGTGCAAGTCGTCGTAAAAAGTGACGTAAAGTTTTTCGTTGTGTTTTTTTTCTGCAGGGGAATTCTCAGCGTGATGGACGTCAATGTCAAGAAGTGAGTTTTGTGTCCACACCTCATATCTAACACTTGTCAGTGCATTGAAGGCGGATGCAGAAAGAACCCTTTTGTCATATTAACAGGCCTCAACCCTGACCTCAGAGCAATCTTTTTTGCAATGATGTGGTTGGTATAGTTTCTCCATCGAGTGACTGTTGTGAACACTGGTCTACACAGAGCAAAACATACCTGACCAGGAATTAACCACATAGTGGTTATTGGCTTCACTCTGTTGCTGCAGTGGTGGCTATAAAGGCAGGCCAAAGGTCAATACGACTGACATCAAACAATACATACCAAATGTCATTTATTCTGTGCCTAACTGTTTCTCCATAAACATCAACAACAACAAATTACATTTGTTTTGGCCTTTCACATCGGGAGAATATACCGAGATGCAGGACAGTGAAGGATTTGGACTCGAGCTGGTGGTTGGAATCAGGAAGGGTTGAGGGTAGGAAGGTGAACAAAGGCACGATCGAAGAGAAGGGCCTTGAGACGTGCCTTGAAAGAGGCAAGGGAGGGAGTGAGGCAAAGGGACTATAGGATGGAGTTGCAAAGGGTGGGAGTATTCAGTCTTCCTGTTTGTGTGTCAGAGGCTGCACTTACACTTTTTACTACGTTGATCTGTGTCTGTTTCTAGCATTCTATCTCACTCTGCATCAGATGTGATTTTAACTGAACAGTACTTTGTGTTGGCAGATACCTTACAGCTGTCCTATAGCTTATCTGATTCAGTGTTACATGCCTCCAGCAATATCTGGGATGGAAATGATATTCGTTCAATTTCCTTTTCTGCAAATTAACAGTCATAGTGTCACAGCCCCCTCGCCCCACACCCCAAAAAAACATCATATATTTTCTGGCCAACAATCCCCCAAATAAAATTAGTCACTCACTTCATGGCTGTTTGTGTGACATTACTGTGTATAAATTGGCTGCTGTGTTCCCTTAAAAATACACAGTAACTGCAATTTACATTCCAATAAATCTGTTTTTGCCATATCAACCTGTCCACCTCCTCCGCTCAGCAGGCTCCAGGTGCTTCACATCCCCTGCCCGGTCAACCCCACTGTCAGTGGTCGGGCCTTCAGCTTCTCTGCCCCAACCTTTGGAACTCCATCCAACATTCCCTTCTCCTTGCTCCCTCCCTTGCCTTCTTCAAAGCATATCTCAGGAGCTTCCTCTTTAATTGCGCCTTTGGCCACCCTCCTACTCCTAGCCTTCCTGTCCTCCAGCCCTCCTGATCCCAATCTCCTGCTCGGGTCCAAATCCCTGACTATCCAGTGCTTTGGGATGTCCTCCCGACGTGAAACGCATTGTATGAAATGCAAGGGTTACTATTATTGATTATAGTGCTTGGGTTTACAGAGATTCTGTTTGCAAGAAATGACCTTAAACTTTCCTTGTTCCTTACTCTTTAGAAACCTATTCCTTGACTTTTACCTGAGGGCCTATATAACAGGGTACCGGGTCCTACAAACTTACACTCCAGCCTCTGGATCCTGGCATCAATGGGAAATGGCTACAAATGCTGTTAAGATGGGGCTGCTCTTGTTCAGTAATGCTGCTGGGGGTAAGAGCGATAGGCTGAGGAACCTGTGAACGAAACGCTGAAGGTTGGTCCCTGTTTGGCAGTGATGATGATTGAAATGAATCTGTGGAACCCATCCGCCCCTAAACTGGATATCTTTCGAGTATTGCCGCTGGTTTTTAGAAGCATTAAAATGTGACTTGAATCTAAAGTACTTATGAATCGGTGCATTGTGTCGGGAGTTAATGGGAAATATCTTTATCCATCTCAATTCGGATTTTGGCAGTCACCTTTCACATGCTAATGTTGTGTTAAACAATGGCGATCCAAAATTCTGCCTCATCCTAGACTGTAAAGATCATTTTGTTTAAAGTTTTTAAGAATTTGTGGAAAATTCTTCAATTGAGTTAATTTTTGAATTCAGTTCCTTTTCTTTTAAAAATAAAGAGTTTCTAATTTAAGATTCAGTTTAAGAATGATTCACGTCACGGCTGTTTGAGCAAACTGGCTCCAGTGTTCAATTATATAATACTGTACAGTCACTAAGCTTTACAGTAAATCCTGTGAAGCGCTTTCAGATATCCTCCTGGCTTCATCAAAAGTAAAGATTATGATTATTTAAAATTTTTCCACAATTCTGCCAATCTTAAATTTAAAAGCAAAATGGCTAAGACTATGTGATGTTGGTATATAACCTGAAAAGACTCAAATAATTTCCAACTCTCCAATATCTTTACCGTCCACCTGACCAGGGAGTCGGGACCTCTGTTTAATGCCTCACTCATCAGCGTTTCCAACAGTGGAGCGTACCCCACTGCAGTGACTGTGGGCAGACATGGTTGAGAATCCAGGCTGAAATTCCAGTGCAGGGCATTGCGGGAGTTGGCAGCTTTTGGATTAGACATTAAACTAAGGCTCCGTCTGCCTATTCAGATGGATGTTAAAGATCCTGTGGCACTATTCAAAAAAGAAAAGGATGTTTCTCTGGGTGCCTGGCCAAAAATGCTGCCGATAAATTATTCATTTATTTCATGTCTGCATGTAGCCTCTTAGTGTGCACAAATTAGCTGCCTTATTTTACTACAAATACACAGTCATTGCATTTGACAGAAATTGCCTGTGAAGTGCTTTGAGACATTTGAAGTTATAGGCTCTGTATGAAATGTCAGCATATTTATTATAATGAAGGAGCAGGTCGTGTTTGTGGCAATTTTAATGAAGCACTTATTACACGATTTACCTTTTGTTGCATGTTAAGTTACTTGAGTAATGACTCAGTTCCAGACAATGCCATAAAATTACAATTAACCCAATGTTATTTGTTTCCCTGCAACTACACCCCCACCCACCCACCCCTTTCCTTTGGGAAACCAACCACTCTTGGTGAGTGCTTCTATTGGGTAATTGCGCCCTCCTGTGGTGATCCAAAAAGTCTGCTGCTAATTATGTATAACACCTTTCTTCCATTCTGACATTAAATCCTTGAAGCTGGAGGTCACAGGCTTGGCATCTGACAATGTTTCCAGGTGTTGAACCCCTTTGAACGCGAATAGTTGTCTGGTTAGGAACAGTATTGGAGGGAGTTCAGCAACAAACTGAGCAAGAACAATGGAGACCTGTAGCTCAGTGGTTAGAAGACTCGCCTCACAAGTGAGTAGACCTGGGTTCGATTCCAGGCAGGGCGAAATGTTGGGCAAGTTTCCTTACTCCACATGCCTCTGTTTTCCTAGTGGTAAGTAGGAACATGTTTTTTAGGCGATTGGCAAATCACTTTTCCAGGGTAATAATTCCTTCAAAAAATAATACTAATGAATTGGTCACTTCAATCCATGACTGTTTGTGGGTCACTTCTGCGCACAATTGGCTGCTGCCATCCATGTTGGCCAGGACACTGGGAGAAACTTCCTTCGCTTTTTGAATAGTGCCATGGGATCTTTAACGTCCACTTGAACAGGCAGATGGGACCTCAGTTTAATGTATCTGAAGGACAGATCCTCCGACAATGCAACACACCTCCAGGATTGCATTGGAGTGTCATCTTAGATTATGTAATTCCAAATCCCAACACGGGCCTTGAACCACGATATTCTGACTTAGAGGAGAGAGTACTAACAATGCGCAGGCTGACACAGTTATAGAGAGTGATGCACTCCACTGAAACAGGCCATTCAGCCCAACTAGTTCTTGCTAGTGTTTATGATCCACAGAAACCCTGCCCTCCTGTTCCCGTCATTTGGGTCTACTTTCCTCTCATAAGGTTTCTTTTCTACGCACATTTTCAAATAATGATCAGTTATTTAAGAAATAATTTAATGGAAGATGTGAAAGATTTAGCTACAAAACAAGTTGTGGTTCAAAATCCTATTTACACAAAGAAATGTCTTTTAAACAGGACTCTCAAAAATCTCCACAGTCTCACAGTCCAAGAAAGATCCCTTTTATCATTTTGAATCTAAGCCACAGTGCTTGGCTATACTTCAGAGATTTCCTTTTACTGAAAACTGACAATGAATAAGAACTAAGGGGAATGAGTTCAGCTTTGGTTTAATCTCCATAATGTGATTTACATGAGCAGAACGTGCAAAGAATGTTTTTCTTGAGTTTTACTGTGGAGGCTGCCCTAACTGAATGAAAAACTTATTAAAATCTTACATGAATTCACTTGGAGGAGCTCAATGCATTTGAATATGTTATCCTTTGGTAAACTTAATGCAAGTAAGATCTTTTTTTCTTGGCGATTTTGAATGCTGCTTTACATCAAGTATTTATTCCATAGCTGTACCATAAATAATTTTTTTTTAAATTTATATCATGGAATCATAGAAATTTACAGCACAGAAGGAGGTCATTCAGCTCATCAAGCCTGCTCACCACCTCTCAGAGAACAAGGTGTTCATTCAATCCCACGGCCCTGCCTTATCCCTACACCTGTTCAAGCCTTTATCTCTCGATCTTTTTATCTTTCACACATATTCCACTTTGACTACAAAAATACCAAAATGTAAAATGCTTTGTTCTTAGTTAATTACACTCTTACAATGCTTGTTTTTTTTACACACATTAAATGTATAGCTAGGAAATTAGAAATCCTATAGACAGTTTTAAAGTTTTTTCAAATGGACTGATTTCAAATGGACTGAAAGGGAAAAACTGTTCCCACTGGTGGGTGTGTCGGTGACTCGAGGTCACAGATTTAAAATAGTCTCTAAAAGAAGCTGAGGGGAGGTGAGAAGAAATGTTTTCACGCAGCGAGTTGTTCGAATCTGGAACGCATTGCCTGAAAGAAAGGGCGGTCGAGGCCAATTCAATAACTACTTTTAAAAACGCGGTGGACGGGTATTTGAGGAGGACAGGTTTGCAGGGTTATGGAGAAAGGGCTGGGGAGTGGGATTGGCATTAATTGCTCTATTCAAAGATGGGCCGAATGGCCTCTTTTTGTGCTGTACAATTCTATGTTTCTATGATTCTATGATTTTTCTACAGAGAATTGAAGAACCGAAAGCCTCCACAAGGGGACAGCAATGTAAAATGTTCACAGACCCTTGACGTCAACTTGAAAAAGCCCAAATACTTAAAAAAAAGTTCCAATGTGCTGCCTTTGTGACTATCTTTTGTATGATGTACAATTTATATGGTATGTTAAAATGATCACAAATTCAACTGCAACATAATTTACAGGGAGCCAGAGAGAGAAATTAAAGATTTACAGTGTTATCAGAATTTAGCAAATTCTGAAATTCATCCATAATTGTGAACTGATTTGCTGTAAATTCTTTTCAGAAACTAGAGAAAATCAACAACAACAACTTGCATTTATATAGCACCCCTCATGCAGGGTAGCATCTTGGAGCAGTTGACAGTGGCGGAGCCTGATGCTGAAGTGGGGTGGTGTAATCATAAGCACATTTGAAGAAGAAGGTCTTCAGGCGCGATTTCAGTTAGTTCAACAATTTGGAAAATTCTGAATGCCTCTGATATGCCACAATAAATGGAGTCAATCTAGACCCCAAGTGAAATTGCTCCTCATCGGTTCCACCTGATAAAGTGGATATTGAGAAGATCAATACAATGGCCAAAGGCACAGCACAAATTTTAATCACATTCCTTTTGAATTGCCATTTATATATCTTTTTTATATCAGGTTAAATGAGGCATTTATATTTGTGTGGAATTGCTTTGCAAATCCACATTGAAACATGTTTGTAAGACTTGGGAGCACATCTAATTTATGAGCCTAAAATTAAAAGCAGAGATTGCCTTCCTTCGTGTGGTCTGATACTAGAGGCTTCATTTGTGGCCTATGTCTTTCACTGATCTGCTTGGGCTTTTTGCAGCTTCAGAAATTCCAGCCTACACGATTATGCTCTGGTTCACTGGAATCTCGCTATTTTAAAAGTCAAACCCAAAACCCAGACTGAGGAACTGCCTTTTTTTAGCTTCCCCTCAGCCTTTTTTCCATCCTTTCCTGAAGGTGTGGGACAGGACGGTACAGTTCACTCGCACTATCATCAGGATTTCAACAGCTCACTCCATTGACTTTTCTTCATGATTTGGCTGTGGGAGGCAGCAGTCTCAACCAGAGTCCTCACACATCCACTCTCCAGCAGTCTATTTCTTGTGCTGAGATTAGGTGAAGAGACAAACCCCAGAGTGAAAGGCACTACAAGTTTAAAAAGCGTAGAAGAGATAACAAGATTGATCAAGTAAAAACTAATGTAAGTAAATAAAGGGTAAAGTGAGCGTTAAGGAGCAGAAACCATAGCTGGCTTTCTGGCTTCTCTAGGCTAGGAATACTCAGACATCAGATAACTCAAAACAGACTAGAGATCAAAGATTATTATTATTATATCAAAGATGGGGACCTTTCTACAGTGTACAAACCAGCACTACAGCATGTAACACACTGGGACATCATGGGAATGGATTAGATTTCTTCTTAAATGAAAACATAAAAGAATCAACTTAATAACAGTAATAATCCTTGAATTTGCCTTTCACGTCGGAGGATGTCTCAGGGCACTTCAAAAGATTTACTCTAAAAGTGCATTTTGTAGGCAAACATGTCAGCCAATTTGCGCACAG